TTTTTATTACACATGTATATATGTATATATGTGTGTATGTATATATATATATATATATATCAGTCTCCACCTCCACCACAATGGTGGCAGTGACGATGGGTGATGGGTGCGGCGGTGCTGACAGCAGCGATGGATTGGATGGGTGCGGCGGTGCTGATAGCGGCGGCGATGAGCTGGATTGGATAAGAAAGTTCGCCGCAGGCGCCGAAAAAAATGAATTATGACATTAGCGACATGCGTTAGCGCCGGGACGCCCGGGACACCCCGGACACCGCCCCGCCCAACTGGGACACCTCCCGGCCACCGACGGCCGGGAAACGGATTTTCGCTCCTACTGACACCTGGGACACCCTGGACACCGCCCGGCCCAACTGGGACACTTCCCGGCCACTGGCGGACGGGGAACGGACTTTCGCTCCTATTTCGGCTTAGTTACGGGAGCATCACGCGCAGCTTCGACACGAACATGAAACCGAAACCGATTTCCCGGTGAGGGGTTTCCGTTCCACTGCAATCTCACCCCCCAACCTCCGATATATATATATATATATATACACACACACACCTTTACTTATACGACCACCCTTCGGGTGATAAGGAGGTTCGGGGGGGGGAACCAACGTTTCACTCGATCGGTCTCACTATCGATCTCACTATCGATCCTACTATCGGCCTCGCTCGATCGATGTCACTCGATCGATTTCATAATCGATATCACTCGATGTGTTTCATTCGATCGATCTCACAATCGATCTGACTATCGATTTCACAGTCGATTTCACGATCGATCTCACGATCGATTTCACAATCGATCTCACATTCTGTATCACTATCGGTATCACGATCGATATCACAATCGATCTCACAGTCAACGTCATCATCAGCACCAACATTATCATCATCAACGTCATCAACATCATCATCATGGTCGGAACACCATGATCATGATCACCACCACCTCATCACCATCATCATCAACATCATCACCATCATCATCATCCGGACACCATCGTCACCATCATCAACGTCATCATCATCGGGACACCATCATCATCATTATCACCGTCATCGGAACACCACAATCATCATCAGCATCATCACCTCATCATCATCATGAACAGCATCATCACTATCATCAGCATCGGGGCACCAACAGCAACATCATCATCATCGGGACACCATCATCGTCGTCACGCGTCACCATCATCATCATCACCATCATCATCGGGACACAATCATTATCATCAACATCAGCATCATCATCTTCATCATCATCGGGCCATCATCATCAAAATTATCATCATTACCGCATCATCATCCTCATCGGGACACCACCATCGTCATCATCATCAACATCACCATCATAGGGACACCATCTTCATCATCACCACAAACAGTATCATCATCAACCTCATCATCATCAGCATTATCATCATCATCGGGACACCATCATCATCAGCATCATCTTCATCATCACCATGTCATCATCATCTCATCATCATCAACATCATCATGATCATCAACATCACCTTCATCACCATCAGCAACACCATCATCATCAACATCATCACCGGGACACCATCATCATCACCACCATCAGCATCATCTTCATCATCAACATCGTCAACATCATCATCATCATCATCGAGACACCACCATCATCACCATCTCATCACCATCATCATGATCATCATCATCAACATCATCAACCTCATCATCATCATCATCATCATCATCATCATCATCATCATCATCATCATCATCATCATCATCATCATCATCATCATCGGGACACCGACGGGACACCGCGCGCTTCCGGTTGCCGGAAGGAAATCATTCGGTCCGGCCGCGCCCCAGCCACAGCGGGACACCGGCGGGACACCGCGCGCCACCGGTTGCTGGAAGGGAATCATTTGGTCCGGCCGCGCCTCAGCCGGAGGAGACTTCGTCTCGCCCGCCCACGCAGCTTCGCCTCGCCCGCACGCACGGCACGCACGAACACGAAACCGAAACCGGTTTCCCAGTAGGGGGGCTCTCCGTTCCACTTCGATCTCACCCCCTCACCTCCGATCTATATATATATATATACACACACACGTATGTATGTTTGCATGTATGTATGTATGTCTGTATGTATGCATACGTGTATGTAGATATATGTACCCTTCTCTCATGTCTCTCTCTCTCTCTCTCTTTCCCTGTTTCCCTCCCTCTCTCTCTCTCTCTATATATATATATATATATATTATTATGTATGTGTTTGTCTCTCTCTCTCTCTCTCTCTTCCCCCCCCCCCTCAATATCACGTATGTGTTGTTCGTTCCTTCCTTCTCTATCTCTCTCTCTCTCTCTCTCTCGCTGTCTCGTATCTCCTCCTCTCTCTCACCTCGCTCTCTCTCTCTCTCTCTTTATCTCTCATCTCTGTCTCTTCTCGCTCTCTCTCTCTCTCTCTCACTCGCTCTGTCCGTCCACGTCGCGGCTCTGACATGGTTGCCAGCCTGCCTGAGGAGTTTGTGTCACCAGAGTGCCAATCGAGAACATGTTTCTCAATGCCTTTGCAGCTGCTGCCGCCTCAAGCTCCGCCCCCTATGGAACCGGGATGGGGGGATCGACCCGCATTCCCAGCATAGCCGTGGTAGCGGAGCTGGCAATCTCTTGGGCAGCCGCCGACGCGCGGCAGACGCAGAGGCGAAGGCGGTCGCCAGCAGCTGGAGGCCGTCTACACTCGCGAGACAACAGGGGGCGGCTACGCCCAGGAGGAGGGGGCGCGACTCTTTACGACTGGACTCGGAGGGATATAGAAGCATAAGTTTTGAGGCTCCAACGTGCACGCATGGGTCGATTGCTGCGTGCAGTCGTGGCAGACCTGCTGCGCTGATCAGATCACAGACGGCATCATGTATAACACATATGGAAACTACAGTGACCCGTCATTATGTTCACACGCAGGGGGAGGTGTACAGTCCCCAAGCATGGGGACTGTACACCTCCCAATGATGTGGTGGTGCGGCGCGCGGTGCCCAGAGAATGAGTGGGGGGCAAAGAAAGCACCGCAAGAAAGGCCCAGGAGGACCCTACGTATTGTTGGGGTCCCTTCATGGCAGTCGTCGCTGGGGAACGACAGGACGGCACGGAGAACGAGGAGGAGGAGGAGGAAGAGAACTGGGAGAAGGAGGAGGGGGAGGAAAAGGAGGAGGAGGAGGAGGAGGGGGAGGAAAAGGAGGAGGAGGAGGAGGAGGGGAGGAGGAGAGGAGGAGAGAGGGAGATGAGGAGGGAGGAGGGGGAGGAGGAGGAGGAGGAGGGGAGGAGGAGAGGAGGAGGAGGAGGAGGAGGAGGAGGAGGAGGAGGAGGAAGCAGTCAGTACAGCTCGGAGGACGGGCGGACGCGGGGCAGGAGGGGGAATGCAGGAGAGGAGGAGGAGGGAGAGGAGGAGGAGGAGAGGAGGAGGGGAGGAGGAGGAGGAGGAGGAGGAGGAGGTCGACGAGGAGAACTGGGAGAAGGCAAGTTCGCTGCTTGGGCGAACAGCGAGCGGGGCGGCCCACGATCCCCGCCTCCCACCCTGGGAGAGGGGGCGCCCCCTCCCTGGAAGCGCGCCGCCCTCCTCCTCCTTCCTCCTCCTCCCTCCTCTTCATCTCCTCCTCCTCCTCCCCCTCCTCCTCCTCCTCCTCATCCTCCTTTTCCTCCCCCTCCTCCTCCCCCTCCTCCTCCTCCTCCCTCCTCCTCCTCCTGTGGGCGGCGGAGCGATGCATGGGACGACGATGAGACGGCTGCCTCCTGAGAATGCCAGGCGCCACGTGCGCCGTCATTGAAGCGGCAAGCAAGAAGACAGGGGGGGACCTAAACGGTGTTTTGGCGATTTCGTGGGCCGGTGTCGTTTCGATTTCGTTCTGCAGCAAAGGAGGAACGAAAACAAAACGAGAGAACACGAAAACAAAACGAAAACAAACAACACCGCTTAGGTCGAGCCCTGCAAGAAGACATGATAGGCTTGATCTATTGGGGGCACCCCGTCGCCCATGCCCTGGGCTCTGGAAGGGCGGTCGGGCTTTCGGCCGCCATGTGAGGCGTTCCAAAAAGGGCCTTGCCTTCGACCAGACCCAGACCCCTCCACCAAAATATATACACACATGCGCCCTCGAGTGACTTGTTCCTGGGCCTCAGGGGACTGGCGGTGTACAAGTCACCATTGGGGGCAGCGGTTTTCTACACCGCCGCCCCCCCTGAAGGTACATACGAAGAGTTCTTTGGAGGGTGTCTGTGTATACGAAGCGTTCCAGAAAGGGCCTTGCCTTCGAGCATTGAAGGAGTTGTCATCCCTTCCGCCGCGGAAGGCGGCAGGTCGGCGGAAGTAGAACGGAGCCGCCTCCGCCGGCGGAAGCCGGCGGAAGCTCGGCGGAAGACGGCGGAAGCGAAAATGCGCACCCAAGAGATGGAAGCGTTTTTGGGTTCAGGAATCCCGAAATCCGCCATGTGGGGATTGGCGCGGATTGAGGGGAAGGCCCGCCACATTTCTCCATTTGCCCTCACGGCTCCCCAAGATACGTCGTCGTGTATTTTCTCGTTGTCGATCGTATTGTCCACCTCTTGATATATCCGTTGTAGATCTCGCCTGCACATCGTTATGCCCGTCTGGTCGGCGGGAGTTTACTTGAGCCGCCATCGGGAACTATCGAGTTGCCCTGTTCCGTTTCCTCGTTTGTCCTGCGTTGGACTCGGATTATGAGGAAGTTGGCGCCTTCCCATTGTGCCCACACCACGACCGCGTTCTCCCGCGCTTGCTTCGTTTCTTTTCTCCTTACCCTACCTAGGAGGGCGAAGGAGGAGGAGAAGGAAGGAACGAGGAGGAGCAGCATGGAAAGACGGAGGGGAAGAGGAGGAGGGGAGGGGCATAAGCTAGGGGAGGCGGAGGAGAAGGAGGGATGAGGGAACAGGGAGAAGGGAGAAGGGAGGAGGAACTGCCATGTGTGGTGACAATCACGTATGCCACTGCCCTCTGACAGGCTCTTGGCTGGGATGCGGAGCGGGCGCTTGCGATGTCCAGGGAATTGGGCATGAAACGCCACCAGGATACGGGTCCTCCCCTTTCCTCCCCTCTCCCTCGCCAATCCCCCCCCATCCTTCCCGCCCCCTCCCACTACATACGCCGACGCGCCGACCCCCACCCACGCCCAGCTGCTTGCCCCCCTCCTCCCTCCCCCGATTCCTTGCAGTTTCTTCCCTTCGGACCCTCCAGAGATCCCCAAGGAGGCCCCCAGGAGGCTCAAACAGGACCAAGAACATTCAACAGCGTTGATGTTCGACCTTCATGTTGTTCGTCCAGGTTCGTCTTGGAAGTGGACTCCGACCTTGACTTGGCAGCCGAGGTAGGACGGTCTTATACAGCAAGACATGGCCACCCTGTCGGCGATGGAGCTCATCTGGAGGACGAAGCTTCGGAGACAGATCGATCCCTTAGCACGGTCACTCATAGCAGCCTCATCCGCCTCCGCCTCCACCTCGTCCTCGTCCCAACGTAGCCATTTGGGCTCAAGATGCCAGGTTCCCTGGGGGCCATGATCCTGGTAAGGGGTGTCAAAAGTTGGCTCTCCCACTGGCACAAACAGGACCCCCTAACACATCGGTCCCCCTCCCAAAAACCCCAGGGAGGGGAGGGGGAGGGTCCCCCTCCCCCACGGGAAGAGGGGTTGTAGAAGAAAGACAAAGAGATATCACCCGTAGACCACTTGTCGCCAAAAGGGCTGGTGTGTTTTTGGGGTTCCAGGCCCAGTAAAGACTCCTCGGGAGTGAGGGCTGAGGCTTCAGGGATTAGGCAAAGGACCGGAGTGACTGCGCCGGAAACCACCGCCACCGGAAGTTCTGGACGTCTTTTGTTTCCCAACCTTCCTGTGTTGGGTTTTCGTTTTGCATAGAGCAGTGTGGTCGCCCCGTCCTGCCTCCTCCTCCCCTCTCCTCCCCTCCTCCTTCTCTCCTCTTCTCCTACGTTCCCTTCTCCTCTTCTCTCGTGCCGTCTGCGCAGCTGTCGCCACTTTCGTGGGCTGCTGGGAGGCCCAGCGGAGATACGTCCCACGCGGATCACCTCGGTACCCCGCCGCCCCTTGCGGGGCTTGCGATCTGCGCAACCGTCGCCACTTTCGTGGGCTCCTGGGAGGCCCAACGGAGGTACGTCCCACGCGGATCACCTCGGTACCTCGCCGCCCCCTTGGGGGCTTGCGATCTGCGCAATTGTCGCCACTTTCGTGGGCTCCTGGGAGGCCCAGAGGAGGTACGTCCCACGCGGATCACCTCGGTACCTCGCCGCCCCCTGGGGGGCTTGCGATCTGCGCAACTGTCGCCACGTTCGTGGGCTCCTGGGAGGCCCAGCGGAGGTACGTCCCACGCGGAAAACCTCGGTACCCCGCCGCCCCTTGGGGGGCTTGCGATCTGCTCAACTGTCGCCACTTTCGTGGGCTCCTGGGAGGCCCAGCGGAGGTACGTCCCACGCGGATGACCTTGGTACCTCGCCGCTCCCTGGGGGGCTTGCGATCTGCGCAATTGTCGCCGCTTTCGTGGGCTCTTGGGAGGCCCAGCGGACGTACGTCCCACGCGGATCACCTCGGTACCCCGCCGCCCCTTGGGGGGCTTGCGATCTGCTCAACTGTCGCCACTTTCGTGGGCTCCTGGGAGGCCCAGCGGAGGTACGTCCCACGCGGATCACCTCGGTACCTCGCCGCTCCCTGGGGAGCTTGCGATCTGCGCAATTGTCGCCACTCTCGTGGCTCCTGGGAGGCCCAGCGGAGGTACGTCCCACTCGGATCACCTTGGTACCTCGCCGCCCCCTGGGGGGGCTTGCGATCTGCGCAATTGTCGCCGCTTTCGTGGGCTCCTGGGAGGCCCAGCGGAGGTACGTCCCACGCAGATCACCTCGGTACCTCGCCGCCCCTCGGGGGGGCGTGCGATCTGCGCAACTGTCGCCACTTTCGTGGGCTCCTGGGAGGCCCAGCGGAGGTACGTCCCACGCGGATCACCTTGGTACCTCGCCGCCCCCTGGGGGGCTTGCGATCTGCGCAATTGTCGCCACTTTCGTGGGCGCCTGGGAGGCCCAGCGGACGTACGTCCCACGCGGATCACCTCGGTACCTCGCCGCCCCCTGCGGGGCTTGCGATCTGCGCAATTGTCGCCACCTTCGTGGGCTCCTGGGAGGCCCAGCGGAGGTACGTCCCACGCGGATCACCTTGGTACCTCGCCGCCCCCTGGGGGGCTTGCGATCGGCGCAATTGTCGCCACGTTCGTGGGCTCCTGGGAGGCCCAGCGGAGGTAACTCCCGCGCGGTGACTGGGTGCTCCTGCTTATCCTTGAGGCCGCGACCTTGTGCTTCCACGTTTCGGTTTTTTTATTTGGGTTTGCTGCCGCGCCCTTTTGTCTCCACTTTTGGGTGAGTCTCCGCCCCCGTTATGCACCTCATGTAGTTGCCTCTTTCAGCGCAGCGCGTTGCTGAGTTAAACCGCTGTTCCGGTTCAGCCCTCGCCGCTCCCCGGTTTAGCCCTCGCCGCACCTTGTTGTCGTGATTATTTCAATGTGTGTGTGCTTCCAGTTTGTATGTTTGCTGCTCCTCGTCTTGATGCTCTCTTCTGATGTCACTCCTGAGTGCTCTTCTTGCGCACTGCGGGTCCTTCAGACTGCCAGTCAGCATTGAGTGGTCCTGAATATAAGCGCCACGTGTATAAAAAGGGTTGGGTACGTCGCAGGGTACTTGTTAATGCCTGTTTGATCGGTTGTTTCTGCGTTGCAGTTGTCGCTGGCAAGTTGCAGCCTGGCCACTTGCAGCGCGGTTCCCGCGGAGATCCTCTTCAATGTGCTTTCGCGAGGCCGAGTGGCAATCATGCGCGGCGGTGCCCATTTGCCACGACGCACGCGCGCGCTGATCAGGGGAGTTCGCATGAGTAAAGACGTGGTCGCTGCGGCATTGCAGCATTCTGTTTCAGGCGGCGCGTAATTTCTTTTTCGCCTGTTAGCTGCACGTGTCTTGCCTGGGTGGGTTGCCCCCGCCAGCGATGCTTCGCGCGGTGTGGTTGCGCCGATGTTTGCGTGACGATGCGCTCGTTCATGCGGGCAGAGCGCCTCCGCGTGGCGAGGCCTCCTGTAGCGTCCAGCGCGCCGCCAAGTTTGTTCCTTCTGGGCTCGCGCCCCCCCCCCCCCGCCCCCTTCTTGGCGGCGCGCCAATGCTTTGGCATGTCGTTCCGTTTGTTTTCGGCGCTTGTGCTTGCCACGCTGTTGGGGGGCGTTGTGGTTCGCCTCTCGCCCGACCTCCTCCCTTGGCCCTCTCCCTCCCTCGCGTCGCACTGTGACTGCGTGTTTTGTTTCACTGCGCGCAGCTCAGGGTGGCGAGCCCCGTCGGCGCGTGAAGGGCGCGGCTTCTTCGACAACTCATGCGCGTTGCGGCTGCGTGTAGGGGATCGGGCGTTTGCGTTACAGTCGGGGCCCTGAAAAAGGAACCCTTTTCGTTGGGGAGGGGCTCCGCGTTCCTTAAGTGTTTCACAGCTTACCTCAGGTTTTCCTTAGGCTTCCGATGGGAAATCGAGCTTTAACTGATGGGCAAAAGGGGCCTCGTTCCTTATTTAGGGTTCCTTAGGTCAACGCCCCGACGGTATGCCGATTCGTCCGCGGCAAGTCCCTCGCAGTGCGATTGCGCATTTCTCGGAGCGGCGAGCTTTCGAGCACCGCCAAGAAAGCCGTACCACGCGACAGATCGTCGCCCATACCCGCCCAGTGGCCGCAGCGTGTGACACGCTCATCCGCGTCGTTTCGGGCCGAATTCCTTCGTCTTCGTCGTCGCCCCCCCTCCTCCGTCCCCCTGCTGTGAGTCTTCCCCTGCTCTTCCACCTCAATATTTCGTCCGTCAGTCTTGCTTCTCTTGTGTCTCTCACGTGCTACTCTCGGGCCACATGGGGCTTGTCATGGGGTCCTGCTGGGTCGTTTTGGGGGCCTCTTGGGGCACTCTTGGGCCGTTTTGGGGCTCTGTGGGACACTTCGGGGCCATCGTGGGCCGTCGTGAGCTCCCCGGGAGGTAATTTTGGTGCCGTCTGGGGTCGCGCCCGCCACCATGGCGGTTTCTTGGGTTGTTTGCGGATTGGCGGATGCAGTGCAGGTACGGCGGCGACGGCAGCAGAGTCGCCTTCAAGTCTCGGCGAGCCTGTTGCGTCGCGTTTCCAAGCGGGGTGGCTGGCTGGGGGCCTCCGACGGCCACGCCGGGACGTTTGAATGTTGGGTCCCCCCGCTCTAAGAAAACATGGGGGACGTAAGGAACCTTTGGGTTCCTTGACAAATGCCACCCGGGGGGCCGCGATGGTCCCAAAGCACGAAGCATCTGTCGATCCACGAAATTTCATAAGGAGTTCCCAGGGTCAAAAGTATGGTCCTTACTTGGGCGCCTGGCGGTCCCACAGTTAAGCGCCTTACTTGGGTCATCGGCGGTCGTAGGTCCCACAGGATTCAAAGATCTCATAGGTCCCGCAGGTCCCACAGCTCCCACAGGTCCAACAGGTCTCGCAGCTCGCGCAGGTCTAAAACAGTTCCCGCAGGCCCCGCAGGTCCCACAGGTCTCGCAGGTAAAATGGTGCCCCCGCTGTATCGTCTGCTTCATTTTAGGATCGGCGCGGTGCTCCCATCATTCAGAATGGCGTTCTGTCCCCAATGCGGGCCACACTGTTTCATCCGGGTGATGTCTCGTCGTTGTCGCCTCCTTCATTTTCCTTTCCCCGCCTTTCCCTGGTCCTCCCGCTCCTCCCGCTCCTCCTGTTCCCATGTGTCCCACGTGTCCCATGGGTCCCACAGGTCCAGCGGATTGCCAGAGGCCTAGATCCTGGGTAATTCATCTTTTAACGCTTCGCGCTTTCACCAATTCCAATTCCAGTTCCAATTCCCACAGGTCCCCCAAAGTCCCACAGTTGTCGCAGGTCCCACGGGTCCCGCAGGAGGTCCACAGATCCCGGAGACCCCACGGGCCCCGCAGGTCCAGCAGATATCTTGCGGGCGCCGCAGGCCTCTCGCACGTCTGGACCCGGCCTCGCAGGCCCCGCGCGTCCCACAGGTCCAACAGATCCCATTGGCCAGTCATATGTCCCAGGAGTCCTTAGAGTTCCCGCAGGTTCCACGTGTCCCACCGTTCCCACGATGCCCACGGGTCCCACAGGCCCCGCAGGTCTCGCAGGTCTCGCTGATCCTGCAGGTCCCACGGGTCTCGCAGGACATGCATGCCCCACAGGTCCCACAGTTCCTCGAAGTATCGCAGGCCCCTCAATTCCCACAGGCTCCACTGGCCCAACAGATCCCACATGTCCTACACGTCCCATACAGGCCCCACAGGTCCCACACAGGCCCCACAGGTCTCACATGTCCCACAGGTCTCACGGAGCCATACAGGTCCCACAGGTCCGACGGGTTCCACCAGTCCCAGAGGTCCCACGGGTCTCGCAAGTCTTGCAAGTCGCACAGGCCCAGGCCCCGCAGGTCCCACAGCTCTCACAGGTTTCTCAAGTCCCACAGGCCCCACAGGTCCCGCACTTCCCACAAATCCCACAGGTCTCGCAGGTCTCTTTGGTCCCGCAGGTCCCACAAGTCGAGGTCCCACAGGTCCCACGACTCCAACAGGGCTCGTTGGTCCCGCAGGTCCTACAAGTCACAGAGGTCCCACAGGCCCAGGAGGGCTCGCGGGTCTCGTAGGATCCGCATGTCCCAGAGGTCGCACGGCTCCCGCATGTCCCACAGGTCCCACAGGTCTCACGGTTTCAACTGGTCTCGCAGGTCTCAATGGTCCCACATGTCCTGCGGGTCCCACAGGTCTCATGTCACCTTTGCTGTTATGAGGGTGCTTTGCTTGGGTAAGTCTGAAGTACAGGGCGCACGTAATTGCTTGAGCTGCGCGCAATGCCGAATAGACCATGAGCGCAAGTGGCAAACGCTGCCCAGTCCTGGATTTATTGTGTGAACTTGCGGAGGCGGTGGTTGCCATCGTGGTCACCGAGGACACGCCCACTCCGTGCCCAGCGGCACGGCTGCGGATATGTTGGTGCATGGCTGGCGAAAATGAGGAAAGGGGACAGAAGGCCTTTCGACGGCTTCTTGGGGAACTGTGGGGACCAAACTGGGTCGCGGACAAGCCGCCCCTTTGGAAGGCTTCTTGGGGAAAGCATCTTGGCGGCACTTTTGGGACCTCCTGGGGCCTCTTGGAGGCCCCGTGGGGCGACCTTTGGGGCTTCCGGCGGCCTGCTGGCGGTCTCGGGGGCCACTCTTCGGGGAAGGCTCGTCCGTTTGGGTTCTTCCGGTTGGGGCCCTCCCGGGAGCCTTTGGTGCCCTCTGGGGCGGCCGCTTGGGCCTTCTTGGAGCCTTCCTGGGCCGTCTTGGGGCCGTCCTGAAAGCCTGTTGGGCTGACTCGGCTCGGCTGACTCGGGGCGACCTTGGATGCCTCTCGAGCCGTCCTGGGCGGTCGGAGGCTTGAAAAGGCGGTAGCGCCAAAATCTTCCAAAATCCGGAGCAGAATCAATGATTTCTGCCTCTTCGGGCCCCCTTGGGGTCCACTTGGAGCCCTCCTGGGGCGTCTTGGGCGCCCCTTGGGCCGTCTTGAGACCCACGTGGGCCATCTTGGAACGCTCTTGGCCTGAGGCCGTGGGGCCTGCCACCTATTTGATGCCTCCTTGGGGCGCTCCTGGAACTTCTCTGGGGGGCCCGGGACTTCGCCGGGACCTTGCCGGGGTATTTTTCGTTTGGGGCCCCCTAGGGACCACCACGCGCGCGCGAATTAGAAATATGTTTAAACTCTTACCGGAGATTTTAGCACGCCTCTGGCCCGTTGGGGCGGCGAATTGCAATACGGTCCCGCTCCCCCCTGGTCCGCGCAGATGCATCGGGCCATGATGTGCGAACCCTTTCTCGGACCCGGACGGGGCTACGACGAGGATAATCCGTTCCAGAGAGGCTTGGAACGCTCTCAGAGCGTTCCAGAACGCTCTGGGAAGGATTCGGCGCCCGATACGTCCTCCAGAGCCGCTGGACCTCAGGAGGAGGGGGAGGAGGAGGAGGAGGAGGAGGAGGAGGAGGAGGAGGAGGAGGAGCAGGAGGAGCAGGAGGACAAGGAGGAAAAGGGTGGATTTTCTGATCTGATCCTCTTCCTGGCATCGTCTTGCGGACGCCACTCTCTTGGACGAGCCCCCGGCGCGCCCGAGGACAAGGACCGCGTGCCCCTCGAGCTCCTCGACGGCCACGCCGTCGCGCGGCGAGCCCAGAGAGCTCCCGCGCGATTCCGCCCCTTGGCTGCGGCCCCGCGCAGTCCCAGGCCGGCCGGGCTCGGCCGCAGCGGGTCGCACTTAGTCGTAGCCGTAGTCGTAGTCGTAAGCGTATGTGTAGTCGTAGTAGTCGTAGTAGTCGTAGTAGTCGTAGTAGTCGTAGTAGTCGTAGTAGTCGTAGTAGTCGTAGTAGTAGTAGTAGTAGTAGTAGTAGTAGTAGTAGTAGTAGTAGTAGTAGTAGTAGTAGTAAGTAGTAGTAGTAGTAGTAGTAGTAGTAGTAGTAGTAGTAGTAGTAAGTAGTATAGTAGTAGTAGTAGTAGTAGTAGTAGTAGTAGTAGTAGTAGTAGTAGTAGTAGTAGTAGTAGTAGTAGTAGTAGTAGTAGTAGTAGTAGTAGTAGTAGTAGTAGTAGTAGTAGTAGTAGTAGTCAGCAGCATAGTAGCAGTAGTAGTAGTGTAGTTAGTAGGAGTAGGAGTAGTAGTAGTAGTAGTAGTAGTAGTAGTAGTAGTAGTAGTAGTAGTAGTAGTAGTAGTAGTAGTAGTAGTAGTAGTAGTAGTAGTAGTAGTAGTAGTAGTAGTAGTAGGAGTCAAGCTAGCCAGCTCGAGCGAGTCAAGCATGGCATGCCCAGTCCCACCCGCCCTCCCACAACATAAGAAGCAAAGCTGGCACAACTGGGGGCCGAAGTCACACCGGCCAGCCGGTTTGGTACAGCTGATGCGGCCGCGATGGCGGTTGCCGACGGGAACTGGCGAGCGCGTGTTGAATGCCGCGCACGCATTGCCAGACGAGTCGAGAATGGCCCGGTACACCGCAGGAAGCCAGAGGTGGCCGGAGGAAGCCCGACGGTCTGACAGGACACCCCAAAGCATTTTTGTGAAAAAGCATTGGGTTTTTGATGTTTTTATGTTGAAATGCTTGCAAACACACGGTGTTCGGTAGGATTCTGACATGAACGCGCGAGTGTGCTCTTTGTGGTATTTTTTGCACAGGATTCGCGGCCTGGGTGCATGACAGAGCATCGCGAGTGCACCGCGCGATGACGTGAAATCGCTGGATTTGACCGAATTCTTAAGATTCCTATGGTTTTCCTATGATTTCAGCAAGAGAGCCCGGGCGGGAAATTTGTACAATTTTGTGAAAAAGCATTGGGTTTTTGATGTTTTTATGTTGAAATGCTTGCAAACACACGGTGTTCGGTAGGATTCTGACATGAACGCGCGCGTGTGCTCTTTGTGGTATTTTTTTGCAATGGATTATCGCCGTGGACGACAGGACGTCCATGTCGAGAGGAAAAAATAAGAAAAATGTTGATTTTGTATTGTTTTTTACAGGTTAGGATGGGACCCCCCGGATGCGCCCGCTATCTGCCGGCCTGAGGGGGGAGTAGGAGTATATTCTAATAAGGAATAAGGATAGGAGTAGGAGTAGGAGTAGTAGTAGTAGTAGTAGTAGTAGTAGTAGTAGTAGTAGTAGTAGTAGTAGTAGTAGTAGTAGTAGTAGTGGTAGTAGTAGTAGTAGTAGTCGTCGTCGTAGTAGTAGTAGTAGTGCAGTAGTAGAAGTAGTAGTGGTAGTAGTGGTAGTAGTGGTAGTAGTAGTAAATAATAGTACAATATTTAGTAGAGTAGGAGTAGGAGTAGGAGTAGTAGTAGTAGTAGTAAATATAGTAAGTAAGTAGTAAGTAAGTAGGAGTAGGAGTAGGAGTAGGAGTAGGAGTAGGAGTAGGAGTAGGAGTAGGAGTAGTAGTACTAGTACTAGTACTAGTACTACTACTAGTAGTAGTCGTAGTCGTAGTCGTAGTCGTAGTTATACTAGTAGCAGTAGTGGTAGTAGTAGTCGCAGTAGTAGTAGTAGTAGTAGTAGTAGTAGTAGTAGTAGTAGTAGTAGTAGTAGTAATAGCAGTAGTGATAGAGTAGTAGTAGTAGTAGTAGTAGTAGTAGTAGTAGTAGGAGTAGGAGTAGGAGTAGGAGTAGGAGTAGGAGTATGGGAGTAGTAGTAGTAGTAGTAGTATTAGATTAGTCGTAATGTAGTAGTCTAAGTAGTAGTTGTAGTAGTAAAGAGTAGTAGTAGTAGTAAGCAGAGAAGAGGAGACGGTGGTAGTAAGGTAGGAGTAGGAGTAGAGTAGGAGTAGGAGTAGGAGTCAAGCTAGCCAGCTCGAGCGAGTCAAGCATGGCATGCCCAGTCCCACCCGCCCTCCCACAACATAAGAAGCAAAGCTGGCACAACTGGGGGCCTAAGTCACACCGGCCAGCCGGTTTGGTACAGCTGATGCGGCCGCGATGGCGGTTGCCGACGGGAACTGGCGAGCGCGTGTTGAATGCCGCGCACGCATTGCCAGACGATTCGAGAATGGCCCGGTACACCGCAGGAAGCCAGAGGTGGCCGGAGGAAGCCCGACGGTCTGACAGGACACCCCAAAGCATTTTTGTGAAAAGCATTGGGTTTTTGATGTTTTTATGTTGAAATGCTTGCAAACACACGGTGTTCGGTAGGATTCTGACATGAACGCGCGAGTGTGCTCTTTGTTGTATTTTTTGCACAGGATTCGCGGCCTGGGTGCATGACAGAGCATCGCGAGTGCACCGCGCGATGACGTGAAATCGCTGGATTTGACAGAACTCTTAAGATTCCTATGGTTTTCTTATGATTTCAGCAAGAGAGCCCGGGCGGGAAATTTGTACAATTTTTGTGAAAAAAAGCATTGGGTTTTTGATGTTTTTATGTTGAAATGCTTGCAAACACACTGTGTTCGGTAGGATTCTGACATGAACGCGCGCGTGTGCTCTTTGTAGTATTTTTTGCAATGGATTATCGCCGTGGACGACAGGACGTCCATGTCGAGAGGAAAAAATAAGAAAAATGTTGATTTTGTATTGTTTTTTACATGTTAGGATGGGACCACCCGGATGCGGCCCCTATCGGCCGGCCTGAGGGGGGAGTAGGAGTATATTCCAATAAGGAATAAGGATAGGAGTAGGAGTAGGAGTAGTAATTGCAGTAGTAATAGAGTAGTAGTAGTAGTAGTAGTAGTAGTAGTAGTAGTAGTAGTAGTAGTAGAAGTAGTAGTAGTAGTAGTAGTAGTAGTAGTAGTAGTAGTAGTCGTCGTCCTGGTAGGAGTCGTAGTAGTCGTAGTAGTAATAGTAGTAGTAATAGAAGTAGTAGTAGTAGTAGTAGTAGTAGTAGTAGTAGTAGTAGTAGGAGTAGTAGGAGTAGTAGGAGTAGTAGGAGTAGTAGGAAAAGGAGTAGTAGTAGGAGTAGGAGTAGGAGTAGGAGTAGGAGTAGGAGTAGGAGTAGGAGTAGTAGTACTAGTACTAGTACTAGTACTACTACTAGCAGTAGTCGTAGTCGTAGTCGTAGTCGTAGCCATACTAGTAGCAGTAGTGGTAGTAGTAGTCGCAGTAGTAGTAGTAGTAGTAGTAGTAGTAGTAGCAGTAGTAGTCGTAGTAGTAGTAGTAGTAGTAGTAGTAGTAGTAGTAGTAGTAGTAGTAGTAGTAGTAATGACAGTAGTAATAGAGTAGTAGTAGTAGTAGTAGTAGTAGTAGTAGTAGTAGTAGTAGTAGTAGAAGTAATAGTAGTAGTGGTAGTAGTAGTAGTAGTAGTAGTAGTAGTAGTCGTAGTAGTAGTAGTAGTAGGAGTAGTAGTGGTAGTAGTAGTAGTAGTAAGTAGTAGTAAGTAGTAGTAAGTAGTAGCAAGTAGTAGTAAGTAGTAGTAAGTAGTAGTAGTAGTAGTAGTAGTAGTAGTAGTAGTAGTAGTAGTAGTAGTA